GTTCGGACGTCAGAGCTGAGACGAATAACTGGGGCGGTTCGGCTGGCTGGCTGGCTGGCTGGCTGAATTTTTGGCGACATGTGCTATAGAAGGCATGTTGTGATGAGTTGATGGGCGTGAGGCTCAAGAAGGGATGATGTGGTAGGGTGGTGGGGCGGGACGGGACCTAACCCAATGATGCTAGGCGGTTTGCGGCACAACATCAGCATGCAAATGGGAGCACGCGACAAGGGCCGACTGCAAGATATTGCCGTTGGAGAAGACGCAGAATGTACTTGGATGCATAGAGTACAGTGCGCGGTGATACTGTACATAGAGGTTGTAGGTATGAGTCTGGTTTGGCGCATCGGTTGGGTGCGCTAGGCAATGATAGATGAAGGTAAGAAAATTCTTTGCCCGCAAATGCAACGACCATGTCGGTCAGCGAGGATCATGCTGCTTATCTGTTCCAAAGCGCAGAATAGGACATCAGAAAACAGCCGGGTGCGTTGTGTTGTTGCGCATTTACAGAAATACAAAGGTACGGAACGCGTCTGATTGGCCGGTCAGGGGCGGCATGCAGGGCAACGGCGAGCGAGACCAGCCAGACCCATCTAGTGTGCTGCCGTGTTATCATGCGCACACATCAAGTGATGGCGGTGAGCCGTCGAGGCGCGTGCGATGCCAATGCCAATGCCATGACACACCTAAGTTGAAGCTGAGCACATTGTTCATTTGGAACCACCACCAAACTATGTGCGAGAGAAAAGCAAAACAGAGGCGATTATGACGCCGTTCCCAGTTGATGTCACCACGACGCAGAGGCTCTTCCAAACCTGTCACCCTAGTAGCCCGTTCCGGCGCCGCTAGCGCCCCAAGGTGGGGTTTGCGAGGGATTGGAGCAAGGTTCCCCGACGCCGCCATACCGAAGTGGCATGGCTATCTCAATCCATTGCCAGCCGTGGTTCTCGCACATAAGCACTGCAAGCCATCTGTCAAGTGTCATGTCTTGGTCGATTAGAGACGGGCTAGTTATTGCAGCGCTGCGAGTAGAGGGGAGTGGAAGTCCCGCCTGATAGTGTCGGAGGCTATCTGCCGATCTTATCCGTTTTTTTTAGTGGCTGCCCAGGACAATAATGACCCAGAACTTTCCTCACACCACCGTCCTTCTCTCTACACTCTTCGTCTTTTACACCGCCCTCGCCTCTTGTTTTCTCCACTCACCCCTCCCATTCTTGTTTCTTTTCTTTTTTTGATTGCGTGCACATACAGGCCAAGCGCAGAAAAGGCTATACTTACCCAGCATCCCACACGCCACCCCGAGCCACAGCAAGACTGCGTGTTGGCAAAGCCGTAAGATTCATACCAGGTTGCAGAATGCCATTTCTCACAAAGAACCGAAGAACTAGCCTCCAGAATGCCGCCACCGACGACGATGATTTCCCCGCCGCCCAGCTTGGTCTTCTAGGTAAGCATTCCGCCCCCTGAACTGAACTGCTTCTTACCATTCGCACCCCACGTGCCTGCCTATACTGACATGGCCACACAGCCCTTGTTCGGGTCGCCGAGCCAATTGCCCTCACCTCGATCCTTCCATATGCCTGGAAACTTGTCTCCAACTTCCACATTTGCACAGAAACAAATGCCCCCTTCTTTGCCGGCCTGCTCATCTCCGCCTTCTCGCTTGCCGAGGCCTGTAGCGGCATGTACTGGGGCGGCGTATCCGACCGTATAGGTAGGAAGCCCGTCGTCATACTTGGATGCATAGGCACCATGTCGTCTTTGCTCCTTGTTGGCCTAGCTCCCAACTTTTGGGTTGCACTCGCCGGTAGAATTATCGGCGGTGCGCTCAACGGCAACATTGGCGTCATCCAGACCATGGTCGGAGAGCTGGTAAAGCGACCTGAGCATGAGCGTAAGTACTGCCGTTCTTGTATTGCAGAGAGAAATGAGATATTGACTGGTTAATAGCAAAGGCTTACGCCGTCATGCCGTTTGTATGGAGCATCGGTACCATTATAGGCCGTAAGTTGAATATGCTTGCCTGGTTTTGAATCCCCTAATCGCTGATGTCTACAGCTTCTATTGGTGGCTACTTTTCTGAGCCTGCGACCAACTTTCCCTCGGTCTTCAGCCCCACGGGTCTGTTTGCTAAATTTCCCTACCTATTGCCAAACATCATATGCGCCTCCTTACTCTTGATTTCTATCATCATGGCATATTTCCTGCTGGATGAGACCCACCCAGACAAGCAGCCACATGGATTCTTTGAACAATACGATGCAACTGTTGCAGAGACTCCACTTCTGCCTGCTCAAGGTGCAATCGCTGATGCTGCGGCAAACCTGACTGCGGATTCATATGGAACGTTCAATTCGGTCGAAGTTGAGCGCGCCGAAGTTTGGCGCGTGCGTTCCAACGGAGACTGGGTTGAATCGCCTGCCAGTGAGAAAGTCTTTACACGGCCGGTGATTATGTTTGTCATAGCACTGGGAATCTTCACGTACCACTCGGTAAGCACAGAGGGCCACTGTGGCATATGGATTAACGCTAACCGCTTCACAGATGACATACGACCACTTGCTACCCATCTTTCTTCAGGACAAGCGCGCCAATGACGACATGAACGCATTGGACTTTGCTTCATCCGCACTGGGTGGTGGCCTTGGCATCCCGATTCAAAAGGTTGGAATCATTCTTTCCTTGAACGGCATAATTCAGCTTGTGATCCAGGCCCTTGTTTTTCCAGTGCTGGCCGATTGCTTTGGCGTGTGGAGGCTATTGCTCATTGTCACGTTGGCACACCCCATTGCGTACTTCATCGTGCCCTTCTTGCAGCTTCTGCCTGATCACTTGCTTTACCCCGGTATATTTGCTTGCCTCGCGGTGCGAAATCTGACATCGATTCTGGCGTTCCCACTGCTGCTCATTATGATCAAGGAAGCGACCCCTGACAAGTCACATCTCGGAAAGATTAACGGACTGGCTGCTTCGACGGGTGCTGCCTGTCGCACAGTGGCCAGCCCCATCGCTGGTCTGCTTTATGGTCTATCAATTGAGCTGCGATTCACCCCGTTGGCCTGGTGGGGCTCTGCTCTGGTTGCTATTTGCGGAGCACTTCAAGTGCCTTTCTTGAACCGCGCAGCCCACGAATGCCATGCCCAAGTTCGAACCGCAGCCCGATGCTGCCTTGTCAAAGAGCGCCGGCGAAGCGAAGTCGTGCGCATTGTGGTGGAGGACGAACAACCATAAGAGCAAGGATCTTTTGCGCAGTACATATTGACGAAATTTCAGGACAGACACTTTTTTTCTTTTTGGGCGTTTTTTTCCTTTTCATCGCTGAGCTCTGCAAACAATGATGCAATTCGGCGGCGTTCTGCAATACACGGAACTAGAATGACGAGTGCTGGCGTTCAACGTGGATGGGTTGGTGTTTCGTATACCTAAAGATATAGACATGGCCGTAGCTTGTAAATACTCATACTATCCTATGGCATTAATAGCAACACGACATGCTTGCTCCTGGATGAGTTCCTGATCAGATGTTTCCCCCCCAATGAGTTGTTGATCGGCCATGGAGGGTAGGTCACCCACACGAGGGTAGGTTCATGCACAACCCCAGGGTGAACACTGCATCCGTACCCGGCTTGGTCTTGAAACGTTAGGGCCATTATGTAAACACCGAGTGGCCTCAGGAAGGGTGGCAAGCAAGTTTATCCACAATGAGATAGGATATGCCTTGGACCGTCGTTTCTCGTCACGAACAAGAGATGAATGTGCAGTCTGGGGGTTGACACGGCCACTGCCATGCATTGTGTCTGGTATATCCTTACGGGGGTACCCGCGACATTGAACACAATGCCGTGTGTCGAGGTGTAGGAGGACAGGAAGGCGAGGCGACACATCCTTGCATTTGCGTGCAACAGGGCCAGGGTAAGAGCAAAGATGCCGACGCCATTTTTGGAAGACATGTGTCTGTGTCTGCGTCTGTGTCTACGTCTGTGTCTGTGGAGAGGGCCGCCGTCAGTGTTGATCGCAGCAGGACGGCCCTGAATGATGTGCCGTCTGGCCCGATGGGTGGTGGCGCACACGGACGAGCGGGCGCGACCGGCTTGACAACTTTGACTTCGCCGTTGTGGCCCTCTTTGCAACCCCATCGCATCCAGTTTCCTCATCCTTGACGCCCCTTGTAATCTTGGACCTCCAAGCACTCGAGACGCACGGCGCCGAGAGACCCAGAGCATGCGTCGGGCAAAGCTTGTTGTTACCGGCCCTCGTTGGTCACTACATGGGCGCGATGGGTGAAGCCTATGAAACACGCTTGCGCGCCTGCTTTTGGGCGACAGCGCTTCACCTCCAACCAATCCATCCCCATAGATCGGCGCATGATACTTAAATAGGCAATCAAGGTTATGCAGCGTCTAGTATTCGGAAACCAGCGTGGACATGGGCAGATGCAAGGAACGGGAGACTGTAATGGTGAGCTGACAGGCGGCTTCTGGCAGAGGCGGAAATAGAACATGGACATGAGACCGCCTCTTCCAGGCATCGCACTCGCCTACAACACCACGTCGTTGTCGGTTACCGCTGAGGACAAAAAGCAATAGTATTTTGGCGTCGATCAGCCCATGGACAGCAGGCGACAGACGGCGAGCCAAGAAAAAGCCAGCCGCCCGGGGTCCAATCGAGCGCGTACTGGATGGTTCGCTGGCCGCTTGCTCACACAACCTGCATGGTAGACTATTTAGAGGAAACTATCTAGGGCGTTTCAGAAGCACCCCATGCCAGGGCTGAAGCAGTGCAGCCTGGATCCCACCACCACTCCCAGGCTGCCTGGTAACCGACGGCTGTAGAGCCATGTGGGCCTGCAGAGCGCGCGACAAGCCGACTAGGAGGCTGAGCATTCGAGGCCCCATGCGACAAGATTATCGACCAATACATTGACAATGTTTCAAGCTTGCTTGTTTCGTCCCTGTGCTGGGTGGGAAGAATATATTTTACATGTTCATGCCGCTTTTTACACCACCCCATCAGCTTCGTCTTTTTAATCACAGCACTGCTGTTACATTCGCTTTTCCCCCAGGTGGAATACACTGCCCTCTTTCGGCTACATTCTCTTTTCTTGTAGACCATCATTCGTTTCGGTCTCTTGAAACTTTTACCTTACCATTGACATTCTTTACGTCTTGCCTTGATATCTACATTGTTTGTAGACTACACGACTACGTATTACTACTATTATTCTCTATCCTACATTTCACAATGAAGGCTACCTACGCTCTTTTGGTCACTGGACTGGCCTCTCAGCAGGTCGCTGCCACTTGGAACTTCTTTGACAACTATGGCACACCCAACTACAGCAACAACAAGTGTAGCGAGAAGCAAGAGGGTGGCTTCGACTGGTCTGACCTCAACGACGGCGACTCGGTTGGTAACTACGGAGATTTTGACTTTTCTGGAGGCTGGAAATGCGCAAACTCTTTTGGCAAGCTTGACTTGTTGACCAAGAGGACTTTTGGCAACAAGTGCATCAAGAACAAGGTCGGCAAGAAGCAGCCTGCTTCATTCGGCTGCAACAAGCGTGGTTTCTCCATCAGCCACATGGACATTTCCTCTGAATTTGATGCTGAACTCGAGCTCCACTACACCATGCAGGACGGATCTATTTGCAAGCAGCGCGGCAGCTGCTCAGCTGGTGGATCGACCCTTAAGAACACCCAGTGCGGTGGCGCCAAATCCGTCGACATCTACCTTGGTTCTCACCACAAGGGCGACCAGGACTCGTGTGAGATTGGCTTCCACAACATTGGCTTTGACTGCAGCCCTGAGACTCCTTACACTACGCCCACCCCACCCGAGGTTCCTTCCACCACCAGCCCAGCCGAGTATCCCACTTCTACTGCCGAGTCAACTCCCACCCCAGTCCCCAGCACTACTCCTGCCGAGGAGTGTGGACAGTACGGTGGTGAGGGATGCGGCACTACGTCGGTTCAGAGGCCTACTGGTGGAGTTTGCGAAGGCGATAACTGCTATCCTGCTTCCACTCCTGAGGCTTCCACCTCACCCAGCGAGACTCCCACTCCCTCGGCTGACTGCGGACAATACGGTGGCGAGGGATGCAACACCCCCACCGAGACTCCTACTCCTGAAGTTCCCACATCGGAAACTCTTGTAGAGACCCCCACTGAGACTCCTACCGAGACCCCTGTAGAGACCCCTGTAGAGACCCCTAGTGAGACTCCCTCAGAGACTCCCGTAGAGACTCCCTCAGAGACTCCCATAGAGACTCCCTCAGAGACTCCAGTTGAGACTCCAGTTGAGACTCCTACCCCAGATGTTCCTACTTCCCAGGTTCCCGCTTCTTCGCCTGCTCCTTACACCAACACCTCTGCCCCTGCATACACTCCTCCCACTGAGGTTCCTTCTTCAGTTGTTGAGAGTACCACTGCTACTCCACCGGTCGAGAGCTCTGCCACTCCTGAATGCGGTTACGGCCAGTCTTGCGAAGAGTCTTCTGCTATCGTCACTTCTGCCGTCCCTAGCAGCACTGCCACTCCTCTCCCTGCCACCAGCTCTGAGGCTCCCAAACCATCGAGCCCCAGCTACCCTCCTGTGGACATTACCGACTCAGTCCCCAAGTGCATGAACTCGTGGCTCCAGATCTCTGCTCCTGGCTGCAAGGACAACACCGACGCCAAGTGCTACTGTGTCAAGCCCGAGTTCACCAAGAATGTCATCGATTGCCTTACTGCTCGCTGCGGAAACGACGACGATACCCGCAAGGCGCTCCAGTACTTCATTGGTATCTGCGCTGAGCACATCCCCGAGAACCCCAAGATTGTCGGTGACTGCCCTTCGTACATTCCCTTGAACCCTACCCCATCTCCTCCTGCTGTTCCCACTGGTGGCGCCTCCGCTCCTGTCCCTGGCAGCTCTGTCCCTGCTGCCGCTGAGAGCAGCTCTGTCGCTGTTCCTCCTACTGGTGGAGAGGGCACTCCCGCTCCTTCGGTCCCAGCTGAGACTCCCGCTCCTTCAGCCCCCGCTCAATATCCTGCTCCTTCAGCACCTGCCGAAGTTCCTGCTCCCTCAGCTCCCGCAGAGTATCCCGCTCCTTCAGTCCCCGCTGGAACTCCCGCCCTCACTCCCATCGCCAGCACCGCTCCCCCCGCTGAGCAAACCCCTTGCACCACCATCACCTACGGCACAACCACCCTCACTGTGCCCCAGGTTCACTTCACCACCGAGCCCAGCACTCCCGGCTCCACCCCCAAGCAGCCTGTCGCTCTCGTCCCCGGCACTGCGCCCCCACAGACTCCCGCTACTACCACTCCAGCCGGCGGCGCCGTCCCTCCTCCTTACCCCACTGCCACTACCCTGGGCACTGCCACCGTCCCCATTGCCTCTGGCACTGGCGGCGTGCGTCCCTCTTCGCCCGCTGAATTCACCGGCGCTGCATCTCCGTTCAGCGTGGTACCTCACAGCGCGCTCCTTGGTGCGCTTCTCGCCTTTTTCGCTTTGTAGAAAAAAGCCAATATTGTAATGTGTGGTCGTTTTTCACAACCCCAAAATCTTTCTCTTATGTATAGTTGGCTTTTCATGTGGAATATATATCATGTGTAGGATGAAATGGGCGTGATGTTGGATGTATCTTTGTAATATCAGGGCGTTCTTATTAGGGAACTGGATATCAGTAGAAATATGAATATGCTATGAACGTATTGTCTTGTCTTGATTTCAGAATGTGTATATGCTTGAAGGGATGATGTTATTCTTTTGCTTGGTGTGCTAGCTTAATTTGGCATTCAATCTGAAGGGGGTCAATGTAAAATGGAGATGATTGCCCGAGTCACTCATTGTCTTATCCAAAAAAGGAGGAAGTATTGTTCTCTTACCCTTCATACAGACTGAAGTCTATAAAACAGGCTCTTCTTCTATTAATTACATAGTCAGCAAGTCCACTGCTATCATCGAGGTGAAGTATGAATTCGCAATGGCTATACGGATCACAGCGGGAAGCACACCTTCCCCTCAACCCTAGTGGCCATGCCGAGGTATTGCATCGCAGTACGAACATTCTACGTAAATTATTTGTGCATCTCAGTGAAGCACATCGATTTGCAGACATTACGATGTACTGGTGGTCATGTTACACCTAGTAAGAAGTGGAGTGATTTTAGTAGGATTTGCAAGGCTGTCTTGGACGTATTCTCGATAGAAATACTTCTTCGGCAAGCTAGCATGATCTGGTTATTCACATGGCATATCTCCTTGGCGATGACCCTGCAGATTGCCAAGTTTGAGCGGATACATATGCGGGGAGTTCGCATGTGAATAACTCATTACCAATGGGTGGATTGCATGAACCGAGGTCCATCGTGCTTGTGCCGTGTTAAGGTAAGCCCTATGGGCCTCAGGTTACTAGCCTCCCCCAGACCCCAGATTGCGCCGACGACAACAACAAAGCGCTCCCCCTCCCTCACGTCATGATCACGTCTCACACCACACCAGACGCCCAGCATGTCGTCGTCGGCTAGCGCTTCGCAGCCTTCTCCACCGGGCAAGCCACAGCCCATCGACCCCATCCTGCGTAATGCGCTGCGCTACACCATCTCGGCAAAGGAGTATCAGTTGCTGCACCAGTACCTCCTTTCACGTGCGCCGGTTGTGAAGAAACGCAGCATTACCCCCAAGCGATACGATGCCATTGTCAAAGGTCCGGATGATTACAATGTCGCTGCCTTCCGCGCCGCGCTGCGCCTAGGCTTGGTGACCTTGACTGGGCTCAAGGCGTGGGAGGTGATTAAGACAAGGTTCTTGTCGCGAGGAACTGTCAAGAGGTACAATCAGTCCATTTTGCGCAGCAGAAAGAACAAGCGTTCGAAAGGGGTTTATACTGACATGCTAGCAGGAGCCAACCCCGTGTACCCATCTGGAAGTCATCCAATGTCCGTCTTAGCAGCTCTCTCGCTCTGATACTCCTCTTCCATCGCCTCCTACGACGCGTCTTTTTGCGCATTCGCGAGAGTCTTCTGAGCAATGAAGCGCGCTCTTTTCGACGGCGGAACCCGCGAATATCCCGCACGTTAACGTCCACACTCGCACCAGCTATCGGATCCAGTCTGGCAGGTTTCTTTCTCGCCGTGTACCCTGGAGACCAACTGCGCATTACTATGGCGATCTATGTCATGACGCGAGCGCTAGAATTCGGCTACAACTACCTCGAAGAGTTGGGTTACATGAAGAACAGACCGAGCTGGTTCGGCTCATGGATGCTCATGCCTGTAGCATGCGGACAGCTCCTCCACGCCTTCGTCTTCGACCGCGACTGCTTCCCCTCTGGCTTCGGCGACCACATTCTCCGAAACTCTCCCGAGTACATCCAAAAGCGACCCGCAGACTATCCAAAGTCTGCACCATGGCCAGGTACCTTTGACATCGTCGATAACCTAGCTGAAATCTCGCGCCAGAGATGGCCACCCTTCATCTCGCCCATCCTCTTCCCAGACACCGAAACCCTCCCCAAACGCCTAGGCTCCATCTCCCCCATCACCTCTTCCGCGCACCCCGCCATCAAATCCCTCTCCTGCGCCCTCCTCCACCCGCAAGACCCCTCCTGCCTCCGCATCTACATCCAATACTGGATCCAAGCCTTCCCGAAAATCGCCCGCCTCTTCACCATCTTCTTCGCCACCCTCAGCATCCGCAAATACAAGGCCTTTTTATCCTCCCCACTCGCCTCTCTAAACACGCTCGCCAAATCCATCCTCCGCATGTCTGTCTTCCTCTCCGGCGCAATAGGAACGAGTTGGGGCTCCATCTGCCTCTTTACAAACTTCTTGCCTCGCTCTTTTCTCGCGACTCAGCGATGGTTCCTCAGCGGTGTGCTGGGTGGTATGTGGGGATTCCTTGTGCGTAGGAATGGCAGAACGAATTTCCTGTATACGGCGCGTATGTCGTTGGATTCGCTGTGGAAAGTGGGTGTTAAGCATGGGTGGTGGACTGGTGTAAAGAATGGTGATGTGCTGCTTTTTGTGGCCAGCTTGGCGCTGGTGAATACGCTGTACGAGGTTTCACCTCGTTCTGTTAACAGTGGGGTTGCGAGGAAGGGGTTGGGTGTTTTGAGGGGCGAGGGTTGGGTGGACAGGGCGGTGATGGGTAAAGACGAGGGCGAGAAGAAGCGAGAGGAGTAATGAATTCGTCTGGTCTTTGCCTTGATTTCTATACCTGTTTGTATTTAATCTTCTATCATGACGATAACGAAGAATGGTGTAATTCTAGTACCCGCAGAAGAACGTATGGTATAATATATATATAGAGTTATTGATTTGCATTCTCAAATACAGAACGCTACAGAAGAAGAAGAAGAAGTGTAATTTGGGTATATCAAGGACTGGTGTAGTCCCTTGCTAGAAGGAAGAAAGAGGAAAGAAAAAGGGAACGAAAAAAAAAAGAAGAAGCTACATCGCTCTGCTGCACGCTCGAAACGAAATTCTCAACCTCATACCGTACCTCACCTGCCATTACATCCATGGTCATTCCAGACCGTTCATCACCCAACCGTGACCCTCAAGCCATAGCCATCGTCTCCGCACACTCCGCCAACTCGGGCTTCTCACCCCCATAACTCTTGGGCACACCCTTACCCAGCTGAGTAGCAAGCTGCTTCCCATCACTCAGCACGACAAACTTCCTACTCGTCTCCTTGGCTACAACGAGCTTCACCGCCGTAAACACCCAGCCCATAATCGCCGGCACATTAACAAAGAACTTGCGCGACAGCGTCTCCGGGTAGTGGCGTCCCAGAATCTCAATCGTCTTGTTGGTCGCTGCCTTGACGAGGGGGTCGCGGCGGATGAAGGAGACCTGGAGGTAGTCGTGGACTTGGAAGCCTTGGTAAGGGTCTGGTCCTTCGCCGTAGTTGGGGATGGGGGCTGTGGCGGAGGAGAGGGAAAGGGCTTGGACGGATTTTTCCATGAGGCCTACGCGCCAGCGGAGGAAGCTGTGTTTACTTGTTAGTTTTTGTTCTCTTTTCCTCCCCCCCTTTTTTTTCTTCTCTTTAACTCTTCTCTCACGCATGTGAGAAAGAGTTCTTTAGTAGGATTTCGACTTACCCATCTAGATCCCCGAATGTAGCCTTGTTATCCTTGACAGCGCCATAGACATTAAACGTAGTAATATCCTTCTTATTCGGGCTCTCGGGCACACCCTCAACCTCAAGGACGTAACCCAGGCCCTCAAACCTGGCCTTGTCGAATGTCTCGGTGGCAGCCTTGACGGGGTCAAACGACTTGCGCCACTTGAGCGTCTCGAGGAGTTGCGCCTTTGCCTTGTTCAAGTCATTCTGGTTGGCGCGCAGGAACTTTTGCAGGATGAGCTTGGTGTGGAACGTGTTGGACTTGCTGAGCTCGATGCCGTAGACCTCGCTGTGCTGCGCTTCGGTGACGAGGGCTTCGAACGCGTCGTAGAATTTGGTCAGAGGATGATCGGGCGCCGTCTCGGGCCATACAGGACCGGTGGTGGGTTCGACGGTGCTAGCTTCGGGTTGCGCGTCGCTAGGAGCCGCAACGGCAGGCGTTGTTGTGCTAGTAGTAGTAGTAGTAGTAGTAGTAGCCGGTGGTGCTTCCTCCGTCTTGCTCTCCCCCTTGCTCTCCTCCTTTTTCTCCTCCTTTGGCTCTTCCTCTTTGACTTCTGTCTTTGGTTCTTCTTTTGGTTCTTCCTTCTTTTCTTCTGTCTCCACCTTCTCTACCTCCTTCTCCTCTTCCTTTTTCTCAGAGACGGAGAGATCAGCTACCCCGGCAGTCGCATTGTCCACGGCCTTGGCGTCCTCCTTTTTGTCGGTGGACTCGACCGCAGGGCTGGACTCGGGCTGCTTCTCTAGAGTAGGCTCATTGAGGAGTCCTGCGCCTTCGGTAGTTACCGCCTTGGTCTCTTCTGGGTTTGCTGCCATTTTGCGATTGTCTCAAATTCTGTGGTTGCAATGTGCTGTTTGTATAGTGTATTTGGGGATGTTAAAAGGACAACGGTAATCACGCTATAATTTCCGAAACCGCAATACGAAGACGCGCGTTCACGTGTTCCCCACCTATCAATGAAGACACGCATTCTCAAGCGTATCGAGTGCACGATTGAACTAGATTATTCAATATGGCAATGGCACACTTGGAAAATGATGCATACAATGGTCTTTTGGTCAAGCTATAAACTTCTGCACTCGAAGGCATGATGGCGCCTACCTACATCATCCACCCTTCCTGACTCACGCCAATACTGAACGTGCCTCGGCGTTTCTTGTATCGACCGATGCGACACCGCAATATAGTGTTTTTTTATAGACAGGAACGACGTTCGCAAGGCTGGTAGCAGCTCAGCGCAATGAGTAACAAAGCAATCTGCATCCTCATTAGTACAAACTCCACCCAATTGTAACGTGCAAGGATTAAAGCAAAGAAGCAATCAGTCGAAAGATGAAAAGTCTCGAAAGGTTTGTCAATCAGTGGGGCGAACCCCTCTGAGTTAGCATGAATTGGTGTTCATCATAGCATAGGGGTAGAACAAAATAAGTATTTACCTTTTTACAAACAACTAGCCATCGAAAGTGGTGAGTGATCAGTAGTCTATCAGATACCTGAAATTGAGTCAGCTACATGTCACATGTACAAATGTTGCGACTGAAGATTGTGTGTAAAAAGATATTCAGGTAATCGAACTAATTTGTTCCCCATGGGTAGGTCGGTATTTGATAATACACTTATTGCTCATCATTGAAGGGCGGGTGTTTGGGGGAGCCAGATTGTGTTCTAACCTTTTCTATTTGGTCATAGCTCCACGAAGCCCTTCATGTATCG